AACTGCTTGATTAATAATTTAGGTGAAAAGCCCCTGTCAATAGCTATTGCTTTTAATAATTTAGTTCTTATCAAGGGATAGTTTGGAGGAGCAAACTTGAAGAGCACGGAAAACATAGGAATAAAATGAAGCTAACTTTTGTTTAGTCGGATGACATGATTTAAAGTGTGGTGGAAGGCAAACCGATGAAGGTTTTACGGTAAACTGTAGTACTGAAGTTTGGATGTGTTTATGTGTGACCAGAATGTCGAGAAACGGAAGAGAATTGCAAGTCTCAAGTTCAAAAGTGAACTGAATAGCAGATCAATAGAATTCATTGTTGAAAGAACTTTTTTAAATCATCTTTATTACCTTCAAACAGGGTAAAAGTATCGTCTACGTAGCGGAACCATGCCGGGAAGTTTAAAGTTTCAAACAATTTTGATTCATAATAATGCATGTAGATATCAGCCAGGATGGGAGTGAGGGGGCTTCCATGGCTAATCCCTCAGTTTTGCTTGTAATATTTATTTTGGAAAACAAAATGTGTTTGTTTCAAACAGAGTTGAGTGAGAGAAATTAGCTCATCAATTCGATGCAAGAGAAATGAAATTCGCGAAGTCTGGTTTTCTAGACATCTTAATGCACCCTCCACTGGAACATTGGTGAATAATGATTTTACATCAAAAGAAACCATGAGTAAATTTCTAGGAGAAATGTTTTTAACCTTTTTTACAAACTCTATTGAATTTTTTATGGTGTAAATGTTATTGTCTAATAGAGTGGAAAATCTAGAAACTAAATATTTAGCTAATGGATACGAGGCAGTACCTAAATTTGATACAATAGGGCAGAAAGGAATACCACTTTTATGAATTTTTGGGAAGAGCATATAATCTGGCACAATTCGCAACAGATGAGATAAGCGAATGTTTTTAAGTTGCTTGAAATGATTTGCGAAGATTTGATTGCAGTTTTTATTTTTGGACAGGTCCGAAGGTGAAGGATCTTTAGGGATCGGATTATATGGTCCTTCGTTTAAGAGTTTAGTGACACCATCATGTAAGTGTTCTTATCCATGACACTATCTGGCCACCTTTGCGGCCTCTGAAATGATAATATAGGGTTAGAATGAATTCGCGCATTGTAGCTCTTTTCTCTCACAGTTAGATTTGGTTTCAAAGGTTTTATTATTATTTAATTTCACATTATGAGCGATAAGATGCCTAATCATTTCTTCGTGAATCTGAAAACTTTACTGAACTTGAAAGTTTTTTCGATAGGAGCCAAAAATCTTTGGAATCGAGAGTTTACAGGTTTGTGAGAAGTTAAAATTATATTTTAGACTTCTCTCTTGTTCTTCTGAAAGACAACATTAGAAATATTAACTATTGGCTTGATGTTTACAATGGGAAATTTTTTGAACTACTGGAAGACTGTAAAAAAGTTTTTCGAATTTAACTGCAAGGGTGTTTTTATGACGGTTAACTGCATTCTCCGTTCTAGACCAAGACTTTTGTTCAAGGGCAGTGAATTTTGGATATGTTTTAGCGAGTTCCAGATGAAGCTTATAGAGTTCATGTTCAATTTTGGACAATTGTTGACGTGTATCCCCTTATCACGGAACCGAAGTAAGGCAGATTTTGCAATTTAACAGAATTCTTGAAACGCGACTGGAAGGTTTTTGATTAGATTTGATTTGAATAAAATTGGGGATCAATTTTTTACATTTACATTTAAGTAAAAGTCAAGATGATTCAGGAATTTTTGCCGTTTCAGGTGTAATTTAGTGAAACGATTAACGGATGAAGGCATGATAAACAATGCAGAAAATCAAACTAAATTAACTGAGCAATATAAAGTACCACAAAATAGCAGAAAAATCCCTCACTGAAATGAATAGAAAACAAAATGTTTGTAAGAAAATGCATGAAATCAGACAAGCAAAGCACAATATCCAAATGTACAAAACATAAACATAACTTGAAAATTGCAAAAATGTACTCACCGAAACTCCTACAATCACAAAATGGCGGCCACACCACGTGCAAAAAAGAAAGCAAAATTATTGTGTCTTAATTCTCAAAGTCTATTTAGACATTTTATGCGCAAATTATTACTTTCTTAGTTTATTGGCTTTAACTAATCCCAGGGTTGCTTATGGAATAAAACACCAATTTTATTTGATCGTCGTTAACAAACAAACGGATCTTCTTTTATTATTACGAAAATTTGATATTATTTCTTTCTGGTTTTTAAAGCTGTTAATTTCTTATATACATATTATTCAAATTATAATACTGAAGCATCTGTTTCAGGTTTAACCGGAGGCCCATTGGAGCATTCTTACCAATTAGTACAGTTCCATTGCCACTGGGGAAAATGCCACAGTTCCGGATCAGAGCACATGGTAGATGGTAAAGGCTTTGCTGGTGAGGTAAACTATTTTAAGGCAATAAATAGTTTATGAAGAACACATGTTAATATGGTTTTTCGATTATTTCTGGTCTAGCGGAGCCAAGTTTAATAATCTAGTCATTTTTAATACATCTAGTGCTCTCCGAAGTTTAAGAATGAAATCGTAGCGCTATAGATCTGGACAAAAAGAGGCCTTTACCTTAATACACTTAACGCAATGCAGTAAAAAGACTGTTTTTGAAGAATTTAAGAATATTTACAAGAACACTGTGCGGTCTTAATAGTGCAGTATATGATTTTCTCTTGCCACGAAACTCAAAGCAAATCCTAAAATTCGTCCTATATATAAATCATGATTAGGATAGACTTTCCATGCTGCTTTATTGAACATTTTAGTCTTGGTAAAATGTTCCCGGAATGTTACTATATTATATTAATTCAGCTTATCTGAAGAACCGTTCGCACTAGTAGCGGCATTCAAGGAGTAAAATGGCCTCGATTTTTACATTTTATTTTCAATTTGTGATAGAATGGTAAATCTCTATATCTTGAAGATGTTATTTACAGATTCTGCTAACTTCAAATGGTGTTTAGTGACTCTGACTGCCGTACCGAAGGGCCCGGTATTGAATCCCGGAGAAGGCACAGATGTTTGTAAATGTATAGTGTATGTACGGCATAGCATAGGTGCACTCTAGAGGTTGGTGATAGGGAAAGAGGGGTGGGAGACTCTTGAACCCGCCTGAGGTGTTCTCCTTCATACTTGGGGGCGAAACTAAGCAAAGTCGTATTTTCACCTGCATGACTCGTGCCAAGACTCGTGCCAACGACAGGCGTAATCCTGCCTTCTTTCCACGATGAATTTCGTGGGTTTGCTCTGTTATCAGACAAGGGAGATTATTCACAACAACACAACAACAAAGTCTGTTTTCTATATACAACATGAGAAAAAAATTGCATTCAAAACCACTTGTTTCAGCACTGGTTGGGTACAAAATACCTAAAAAATTTATTTATATTTATTTAAATGTATTTTTCTTACATTTCTGTCAACCATTCTTCTGTTCTTATCTATCTGTTTTTAAATACTTCAGGGAAAAAAATTATATAGCTCTTGTAGAGCTAAAATTTCAGGTGATAAAATATTCATTATGTTTGAACATTCCATAGCTTTACAAGCAAAACTCTCAGATATCACACCTAATTCATACTACTTTCAAGAGGGCAGCTACATATCTAATAACGAGTGCTGATTATTAACAGAGCATATATTACAAATCTGCAGGGAAGTTTTGTTTTGATTTCCTCTTCGTTTTGTTACAGTATTCACCTGGTAAAAGTTTTATAAAAATATTAAAAATAGAGTGTATTACATATAGTTACCCTTGAATAACAGGAATTGGTAAATTTCATCCGGTAAAGTTTTTATAAAAATTATTAAAAATAGAGTATATTACACAGTTACCTTTGGATAATATGAATTAGAAAGTGTTTATAACAATTATTAAAAATAGAGCATTACATACAGTTACCTTTGAATAATAGGCATTGGTAAGTTTCACAAGGTAAAGTTTTTATTACAATTATTAAAAATATAGTATATTACATACAATTACCCTCTAATAATAGGAATTGGTAAATTTGACCCGCTAAAGTTTTTATAACAATTATTAAAAATGTAGTATATCACTCGTACTTGGATAATATGAATTAGTAAATTGGAAAACGAGCAATTATTCAAGATTATATTGTAATGTACTCTTTTTTATAACATGCAAGAATTAAAATCTCGGGTTATTTGAGATAACTTGCGTGCTTGTCTTGAAATCAGCACGTCAACCAAACCAGTGTTGTTAAAAAAAAAAAAAAAAAAAAGTATGCCTCAACAAGTGAATAAGCTTGATTGCTTGTTTGTTTTTTAAATTATTATCGCTCTTATTTATTCTTAAAAGCGTGCAGATGTTATCATTGTGGAAAACATTTATCATTTTGATTGAGGAAGAACAACAGAGGAATCTTAACCTTGAGTACGGTTGCTGGTATTACTTAATAAACTGCACTACCCGTTTTGTGACACGTACCTCTGAGCTTTAAAAAAAAAAAAAAAAAAAAAAATCTGAAATGTTTCAGATTTTAAATTACGTCCAAAGGGGCGTTTTTTTAACACATTTTGTATGTTACCTTTCTTTATTAAATATCATGTTCCTCGCACTTAAACCATAAGATCCAGTGCAACAGCAATATCGCAAAATAGTTTTAAAACGAGCATATCTTTAGAATTTCCGATACAGAGACTCACGCGCTGGAGATAAAAATTTTTTCTGCACAACGTTGCCATTGCTCGCTTTGAAATCCTTGAGTTTGTTAATCAAAAATTCGTCAAAGTTTTAAAAATATAGGAAATCGATCATAAAACAAATTTCAAATTTTTGGTCTTCCACATGCTCATATTCGTTGGAGGATTACGTTATTCAAAATTCGATGACTCTATGTACCGTTTTTATCACAATGCGAGAAATATACATACATTTACGCAGATTTTTCATTATTTAATTTCTTCAAATATAATGCAGGACTCTAACATTTTATGGCAACAGTTTGAAAAGAAACCGACATTTATGAGTCCGACGCAAAATGCAAAACGAAACTAATAGTCCTTCGGGATTCAAATCCCTTTGGACTAAAAAAAAAAAAAACTGCTCTATATTCTTATTTATGCCGACTGAGAAATTTAATGTATATATTTATATTTTATTTATATTTATATTAGTAGATTAATTTTAGATTTATATTTCTTTTTTATAGATTTATATATAGCATTGTTCTAAAATACCTTTTTTCTGAAAAGGCATATCGATAATTTTTTCATATTTTCATTCTACGACTCAAATTATTCCTAGACGTTAAATTTAATAAAATTTGGTGAGAGAGTTACCGAGAAATTTAAATATTTATCTTGACGAACGTTATTCAGTTTACGCCAAGAATTACAATATTGGCGAAATTCTTAATTTATGTAACCTGTTTTCCTTTCCCTTTCACTGAGCACGAGTGGAGAAAAAAGGTGCATCGTTCGTTCTTTCAAATAATTTTAATAAAATGCGTAAACCACATTTAGTGTCATTATTGCTTATAACAAATATGCCAAATTTCAGGATCTATAAATTCACTTATATCTTGGGACATTTTGAATAAGAAACTCTAATTTTTTGCAAACATGAATAGAAATACATCTTTTTTAAGGTGGTGGTAAAAAGTTTAGAAGTTATAATTCAAAACATTTTTCAAAAAACATAAAAAATTTACTAAAAATACAAGTTTTAAAAATAAATAAAAAATGGGCGAGTTTTATTTAGATTGAGCCTAAATTTCGAGATGTGAAAGAAGGAATCAAGTAAGTTAAATAAAAACAAAGAGAGAGAGATTAATAAATATATGCCGAATCCAATCAACAATGAAAAGCTAAAATTTTGAGATCTAATTTTTAAAAACTACCCTGGCTAATTTTACGAAACTTGGCACTTTGGCATAATTTGAGACGTAAAATCGAAATATGGAAAAAAATTGGTACTTCATTTCAGAAAAAGTCCGATTTTGGGTGAAAATATCTATGTTTGAACAAAGCTATATGTAAATGTAATATATATCTTAAATCCATCTTTCAAGAGAAAAACGTAAGTTAAATTTTGTCAATCGGCCGAGTAGAGCAAAAGATATAGAATTATCTTTTTTTTACAAGAGTATGTAATTAATATCGATATTTACTTACAGTTGTAAGAATAATCTTAATAAAATCAGTAATGTAATTGAAACTTATCTTCAGTGAATTCTAACGCAGGTAAATAAATCTGAAGATGAAATGAGTTATTTTTTTCAATCGGTTTAAAAACAAGCATTGTTTTCTTCAATGATTTATTCTACCCACATCAAGAGCAGATTATGTTATATTTTAATAGCCATTCGAAGACGTAATCTTGAAAGTAAGTTAAACTTCCGCATATAATTTTTCACTTTTATTTCTGTATAGTTTTTCTATATAAACAGAGTGTTCTATCTAGGATATGCTAAATGACGAAGATATCAGTCGACAGTTAAAATACTTCATAAAAGAACATTTATGAATTTTATAGGTCCAAAATCAAGATTCAAAGCTAAAATAAAGACTCAAGGAAGATTTCAAGGATAAAATTATCATTGTTTTATTTGAGGCCAAATATTTAACATTTTCAGATGAAGAATGTTTCTGTATAAAGATGTTCTGGCAATGTGCTTTTTTTTATCTGAAGACCAGAAATAAACATCCCGCAGTTAATGGATTGAAATGCTAACTTGCAAGAAGCGAAAATAAGAATCCATCGCAGCTTCTAATAGGGCAAACATTACACAAGTCTGTAGTCCAAGGCCTGATTACTACCTAGAACCATAAAACCTGAGTCTAGAGCTCCAGACTCCAAAAATGACCCCAAATCATTTTAATTTCGCAGTTGGTCCCGCATTTCCTTCACATAATCAAGAAGAATTTTTTACAGGACCCTTTGAAAGAACGCTGTGCCTAGGATTCCAGATTATTTTAGTCTATTCCTATCAGCGGTAGATTCATGTATCCAGTGCCTTAAGTCGAAATTAGGTGAATCTCAAGTCGAAACTGGTAGTTTAAGAAACATAAAATTTTGACTACTAATATTTTTGTGATTGGCAGGTGATCAGTTATCTGTCTGCTGGATTCCTATAAGAAGAATTCCAAACTCCTGTAAATTATTAAAATATACATTATTAAACTATACAACTTTCAAATCAAAGCTTAACTTAAATTTTATATTCTTTTAACCGAGGATGAAAAGTATCTGATATACTCGTCTTGTTGTGAAACAAAACTTCGCTTCACCACCAGAGAGTGCAATTTTTACCCCCAATTTCTTAGCACAGAGAATAGTCCTGACATGTTTGTTCCTAAGTCTTCTTAGAAATATTGAAGCCGTCTTTAGGTGTAGGTGGTTGGTAGGTCCCTACTAAGTTAGTTATAGAACGTTTTGCAGTTTAGAATTTAAAACTTTGGAAATTTCAGGAATTTAAATTTTGCAATCCTAGCATTTAATTTTAATTTTAAATTTACTTAACTTTTTAAGAAGATCGATGTGACTAGACAAACTGTCATTTTTTTAGGACTTCTAAATTTGCTCACAGAGTTCATTTTACTAAAGAAAATTCTTATCTCTAAAAATTTATTTTTTCTAAAGAGGAAGTCATTTACTTTGTTTATTTTCTTCGGCCAGATTCCTTGGACTTCTTTTTCAGGTATATCGAATACTTGAATCCTTCGAAAATTAAATTTTCACACGCATACTATGTATACCTTAAGCTAGTTATAGCATAAAATACTTTTTCTAATATAATGCTATTGTAATTCAATATTAATATTTAACTATAGATAAGTTCCGTTTTGTTTACATATTCAGTCATCGGAAACAAAAGTTTTATAATTTATCACTCATAATTACTTAAAAAAGAGTTATTTTCTAATTGAATCTTATCCACAGAAAGGTAATTAAGTCCTAAAAAGATGAGCAACAATGCACTAATGCAGTGTTAAGCACCTTAAGCAAATTTATGATCAGAATTTTCGAAAGAATATTTTTCACATCCTGAAAACCATTAAAATCATTAAAAATATAACATTGTAGCCGTAGTTAGACTAAATACTGAAAAGGGTACTGAGCTAAGAGAGGATTAATTAGAAAACAACTAGAATCGTTAGTGAAAATAGACTTCCAATAACTGAAACATTCTTTTTACGAAACAGCCCTAATACCGATCTTCATTTGTTTATTTACAAGATAGTAGTTTCAATTCAAACAACCTTTTACCTGTTAATCCTCCTCAAATGCAGAATTGCACTACTATTCTGTTATCTGCTGAGCACTTTTGGCTTTTAAGGAATATATAATTAGAAATTTGATCGTTGGTAATTTCGTTCGGTGAAAGAAAATAGATTAAGCAGCATTTTTTTACGATTTTCCTTATTTTTAAAACACAATAATAGATGGGCGATTATCCAAATCTCTTAGAGTCTGCCCTATTCGGATAAGTAGAAGTTCAAGGCAGTTAAGATATAAATGTAATGTTATGGCGCATAATCTCAATAGCTAATCCTGTTTTCTTAATAAATCAGCTTAATTAATTATATTCTCTATAGTTTAACTATATGAAAATTGTTTTTGAATCAAAGAAGACTTTTTTTTATTTGCGGAAATGTAGCAATTATCTTTTAGTATAAAAATAGAACTGGACCAGACCTTTATGGGCCATTTTTAATCAAAGGCTTAAAAATTAGATCCTCAATCTAAATTGTTTAGTTCTGCAGTTTATTTCAGGTATATTCAGATATTTAAAATTTGCATTATAGTTCTACTGTATTACAAAAACTGCTAGATTTAAAATTTGAATCTGCTGGAACTTTGATGGTTTAGAGACCTAACATTTTTGCATACAGAAACATGAAATCTCAACTGTGACCTTGTCGGGTCTTTAACCGCAGATCTTCCAATTCTCAGCTGCATGTTTTAGTTTCATCGTATCACTCTCTGGTTTTCCGTCTAGAAACCCGAATTTTTGACGTTATGCATTGATATTATTTTTATGCATAAGGTGAAACATTTTTAAAATTTTATTCGCAAGCTTCAAATTAAAGTCCTTGGTATGACCTAAACTATTTGCTATTACAACTGCAGGTCAGGTGTTGTTAGTCCATTCAGGTTCAGAGTGCCATTAGGTCAGTTACGTCGAAAATTTTAAATTCTTTTAATTTAACCTGAAGGAAACCGGAGGTTTATGATTTAAGTATTATTTAAAAAAACTATAAAAGCAGACTATATCAAAACGATCCGTCTTTCCCTTTGTAGGCATTATTTTAATTTCCAAATGGTTATTTTTTAAAATTTTGAAACCCTTTCCTTTATTCTGTTGTATCCCACCCACAACTTCCTATCAGAATGAGTTTTTAGAATCGCGTTTTTTGTAAATGAGGTAGAATCAGTATTTATGGGAAGTTTCGGTCACTTTCGTAGAAGAGCTCAGACGTTCTCAGTAGAGCGTGTTCTGTCTTCTGGCCACGTTGTTGCTTTAAGTGAAATCTTACAACGTTCGGCCGTATTGCTATGTGCCTGTTAGTATTCGCCGGTGAGGTTTATATAGGCCAACTCAGTTAGTTATTTCTCTACAGCTTCGGCTAGCTTTTATTTAGTTAACACTAGTTTAGTTTCTTATTGTCGAGGTTTTCTTGTAATCCCGAGAGGGGGCCGACTATGAATATTCTTAAAATAAAAGGGTATTTTAACCCTTCTTTGGACTTTTCTCGCTGTTTTAAAGAATCAGCAATTTGTCGCTACACATTTCCCAAGCATTCTAGTTACCAAGGATAATCAATTTAACTAGAATCTTATACCTTCCTCAAATAATTAGTCGTCATATATTTCATAAAAGGTCGGATGAAGAATTTTAATAATATTTATTTGTTAAACTCTTATAGTTACTATAGGGAAATTTTAAAATAATTGGCACTATGTTAATCTGAAAATAGATATTGCTGCGTGCGGGCTTTTAATGAATTGAATGCACACACAACCGATGAAAGCTTGATTAAATTTAATTTTCCAAAGAGAAACATTTCACAGTTCTGGGACCTTTCACACGAAAGTTCTTATCTCAGTATGAAAGAGCACAGCTAGTAGTAACCAATTTAAACTAATAAGAATGAACACAATGCCTCAAAAGCGAAAAGCTCGCACAGTAATCTCTTATTACTCTCTCAATACTCTGGGCTAAACTCTAAACCAGGGGTTCTCACCCGGTGGTACGCGTACCACTGGTGGTACGCAAGAGAAATATAGGGGGTACGCAAAGAAGCAAAGTATTTTTGACTATTAAATTCTAAAATTAAAACACTAACATACTGACTGAGTTTTTTTCTGTAACACTCGTAAATTTATGCGATCTGAGCTTTGTTCAAGAGTGATGGTGACATACTTTGTAGTGGTGGTACTAAAGATTTTCAATTTTTGTTTAGACGGTACGCGTTAGTCAAAAGATTGAGAACCGTTGCCTAAACTAAACTGAACTTTATAATTATAATTTTCCCACGTCCACCGAGAAATTTCGAGTATCTTCGATTTCTCGAAATTTCTTGAAGGCATACACAGTTCCAGTTATATAGGGCGGGATACAGTTACAATTGCACAGGGAGGAGACCCAAAAGTTCCCAAATTATTTCCAAGTTTGGCAAAAAGTTAGTCGTGAAAAACCATCTCTAACTTGCTGTTATCTCACGATTTTGGTGAGATAGCCATTTATCTCAATGTTATATTGATTTACTCTCGTAATACTAAATTTCCTGTTATGCTTCGAATTTCTGAAGCTTTTCGTGTTCATTATACGACAGATACTATAATTCATGTATAATTTTACTAATTATCAGAACTATTTCAGAATTGCCATTAGTTAAAATAATTTTCGTATATGCAATATTTGTAACAACTTTTTCTAATTTGAGATTTATTTCTTTTCAGCTTCATCTCGTGCACTGGAATGTCGATTTATACAACAGTGTAGAAGAAGCCCTTGCATCTTCCAAAGGCGTCGCTGTCATCGGTATATTTTTTCAGGTATTGTTATTTACCCGGAAGCCCCCGATTTTCTAACGAATCGAATAATGCTTTGAATTAAAATGACCAACCAACGTATCTGTGTCCTGTACAACGTTCGTCCCGTGTTTTTAATCTCCAGTGATCAATCCGTGTTTCGATCCCAGTCTCGAATAATTTTTTTTTTTTTTATGTGTTAATATTACCTTTCGTCGCGCGGAGACAGAACTAAATTTTTTTTTACTGTTCAGTGTTGATGTTAATTCATCTAGCTAAAACGTTTTGACTAATAAAACTTTAAATATTTAGATATTCAGATAAAACTTTTTGACAGCTCGGTGATCTGTCGCAGATTGATTACTCTCAGTTTCGAAAACATTTACTTATAAATGTAAAACATTTTCAGCTGAGTGCGTCTGTGGAGTTTAAAATCGAAATGCCAGTTTATTTTTAATGTGATTGTAAATGTCAATTTTTATGTCGAAATGTCAATAATATTTTTAATATATTTTTTTAATATGTAATCTCAGTTGGTGTCGAGGTTACAATCATATTTTCAGTTCAGAATAAAAAAAAAAAAAAAAACCCACCAAGACATTAAAAAAAATATATATTACTGAAGTTCTTTTTTCAAGTTTTTCTTTTTACTTAATAAGAAAGTACGTAATTGTTATTTTCAGGATACTATAAGCTGTAGCCACACGTTCACGCCACACACATTTTTTTTTCTCTCTTCACTCTTCTTTATTCTTTGCGTTTTTTTTTTTTTTCGCCCTTCTGAATAATATTAATCAAGATGCTGATGTCACTGTTAACGCTAGGAATATTTAAGTAACAACAAAAAGTAACTGAAATAAACAATAAATAATAACTGAAATAAATAACAATTAAAGTAGGTCTCCCTTGCCTTAAAATTCATTCATTTAATTATCTTAAAATTGAATGCAAATCATAAAACTAGATCAAAATAGCAAGGCTTACAGCATCCTATTGAGAGTATTATTAGAATCTTAAAATTCACTTTATGAATATATAAAAATAACATCTCATCTGTTTCCCAAAATAAAAATTTTAAAACTTAGGATTCCATTTTAAATTCTTTACAAGTCGTTGCCATCACACAGCACCAAAACAAAGAATAATAAAATAAACATTTTAATGTTTTAGAATGTTTTTAGGTACTGAATTAATATTTCTGCGTGTCAGTTTGTATAAACTTTCCGAATAAACATGCCAGAAGAATAAAAAAATTTGAAGACTTTTTTTTATAAGGAGTCGCATTTTATATAAGATATCCGGAGCTAATCATTCGGATACTTTCATCGGTTACTTATACATTCGGATACTTATACTATTAAGTATAACTAGTGTAAAGAATATAAAGAAAAAGTAAGGCAATATTTAACACTTTGAAAACGTGGACACTGATCAGCTGACTTGCGTTCTCAGCACACACATTCGCCTTTTCTACTATAAAATCTTTAGGAATGGTTTCAAATATTTATTTGTTTTCTTTAAGTAGTTATTCAAAAACAAATAATAGCAGAGTTATTCAGAATTTGCCATTAGTTGGTGCTTATGAGTATACAACAGAATTCCAGTTGTTCCATTTAACTTATTCTATTTTCTACATCAAGTAAAATTAAGTTTTCTGTTAATGTAATCTGGATATTTGAAGTTCTATGCATTTCAGTACATATTTAATCTGAAATATGAAGAAATATGAGAAATATAATAAATATTTTAATCAAAAGGCCTCAGTATTTTTCAAAGTGATTTAATTTTTTATTATCACATCTTCTTAAAAAGTCATGGTCCGGTGGTAGTAAACTCAGATAGTCCTAGGCTTGAATTTAAAGTTACGCAAAGCTTTTTGTTTTTATTTGATGTATCATAATTGTCTTCAGCTTTTCTGTGTAATTTTTTACTTCTAAACCAAAATTTCTCGGTCGATATTTTTTTTTTTTTTTTTGAAAATCCAAATATTTGGAACTATATTACTATTTTGTTGAAGTATGATATTACACATAATATATATTATAAAATATTTAGCGTGTTTTTACTGCACTACTGTAAAACTTCTGTGGTAATTCTGTGAAATATAAACATTAACGTGTAACTATTTGCTTTTAGAGTAATAAAGGCTGAGGCTATCTTCATATTCAATGAATATTAACAAAGTTAAATCATATGAAAATTTTAAATCTCAATTTAATAGTGCTTGTGCTGATGTAGAAAATGTTTTATTCGATTACTAAATATGTAAATAATGTCTGGACAAATTTGGTCTTAAAAGTATTTAGGAGTTTTTTATTCAGATTTAAGGGCTCCAATAACTAGAAAATGATCTTACTTGTTTCCTTCGGTTGTATTAAAACTTTTTCACTAACACTATTTTTGGAACTTTGGTAACAAATAAACAGTACCACGTATGTTCAGTTTTCCTTAGATAAAAATAGTGCTGTGCAAAAGCATCGCATTATTAAAATCCATAATTCAAATTCTTACAAACATATGTATGAATTACATATTTTTAATCTTATGTATGTAAGATAAAAAATATGTAAATCGAAATCGCAACTTAAATTAGCAATAGCCGAGTAATTCTTCATTTATCTTAATTTGTGCACCTCTCCTTGCAGTTCTAAAAACAGTATTTGTTTATAATTACATTTTCTGTACTGCGTCATTTCAAAATTTATCAGTTTCATACCATCTTACGTAACTTACAGCAATGCAAGTATGTTACAGCCAATCACTTCAAGAGCTGAAACTTTGTACCTAACGCTTCATCTAAATGAGTATTCCCTTTTCCTGCTTTGCCTTTACTCTTGCTAACACCCGCCGCTCGTCTGTCTGCTTTGTCCATTGTCTAAGATGTGAATTTCAAACAATGTTATGAAGACTGAATGCATATTGTGCCCATGATAATGTGTGAAGAAGTATATGTCTCAAGAATTAGCTGTCCAGTAATAAAATTATGTGAAGCATCTAATGCCAGGTCTATCTGCAAGTCTTTCCTTCCTTACGCGTCATTCAAATTACGCAGTAAAACAATTGCCTAAATCCCTTACAGCTATCGCCCAGTCACCAAAATATTACAAATATATGATATATATAATTTTCAGTACTCCGTAATTGTTCAGATTTTAAGGTTTTAAATTATTACTCCTTGGAAAATAAATTTAAAGCATTAAAATATGAATAATGGTAATGGTAATAATATTAGAATTTTCCTTTTAGAAAAGTTTACTTAATAATTTATTAAAACTTTTTCAAAAGCATTTAAAAAAAATTTTCTTAGCGATTTGCATATTGTTTTGTTATAAATTTAAGGTACTTTTGATTCAATTCAAAGTATTTTCCGAGGATACAATAATTTATTTCTTCTAGTTTATATATTTTAAGTTTTGATAAAATAACTGACATATATATATATGTAAGGTAAAAAAATATGTAAGTCTCATAGTTATAATTTAAACTAGCTATAGCCCTTACTTCCTCCTTTCTATTCTAAAAATAGTAATAGCTTTTCTGGACTGCATCATTTCTAGATCAGTCTATGTCACATGGCTTGCTAATGACGTAGTTAATTTGGGTCCTGAACTCAAAATTTCGAAAATTAAAAGCTTTCTCTTAATAAGCGACCTAAACTAAAACCTTATTTTATAGCAAAGGAGATTAATATTTTTTTTCTTCTATTTTTTTGGATTTCTCTCTACTGTGCTTCAAGTGTTTATTTTTCAGTGCAGCTTTTATGGATTTTTTAACTTTACATTTACAATTTGTTTTTAACTTGTTTAAAATTCCTATGCAAAAGGCTTACTTATTTTTACACCTTCAATTTCTTCACTACACATTTTCCTTAGATAAGATAATCAAGATTACTTTTTCCGAGTTTATTCAAATTTTATATAAGTAAGCAGAATATATATATATATTATAGTTAAACAATTAATTAAATTTTAACAACAGTATCAAAGTAAAAAGCAATTTAAAAGCCCAATTTAAAAAAGCAAATTTAAAGCAGCCAAAAGAAGAAGTAAATTTATTAATTAAATTTGTATTAATTTAATTACTTTTTAAATTAAATATTTAATTAATTCACTTTTTTCTATGAACATATTATATCTATAAGTTTTTTCATAATTTTATTAAGTAAGCAGTATACATATATAATATATTATATATATATATATGGTTACTTATCTGCGGAAGAATGAAAAAAGAAATTTGGTTACAAAGTCTACCGCACTGTAATTTTGCGATGAAACATTTTACTTGTATTTTACTTTATGGTTTTAAAATGTTATTCTGTTTATATAACTATAGTTTAACAGCTGATCATCGTTCCATTTTTTGATTAAACAGATCGGTAGACATAATGATGAGCTTGGAAAAATAACAGATATCTTGCACGAAATAACGCAAAAAGGAGAAGAATGTTCTCTTCCAAAAAAAGTAGATCCATCTGCTTTCATACCAGGTAACATTCTTTTCAATTAGTCACATTATTGTCAACCTATATTTATACTCTATATTAAGAGTTTTTATCGGATGTCAAGCTAGGTCTTTCATTGGCTTCGGTTTTTTCAGGTTTTTTGAACTTTTCACATGCAATAATCACAAAATGCTTTTTGAATTAAAAATTATAATTTAGTGACTTCTGTAAGCTTAAATAACAGTAAAACTTTAAGAAATCAATGTGCATTAAAAAGTAGAAATTCTATTTTGATTATGAAATTTTAGACGAGCTTTCTCTTTTAATTTATTAATATTACCTATACCTGATCAACGTAATCTTAATTCCTATTTGTTCAGTCTATTGGAATTTGCTTTAAACTTAACTAATAGGATGTTCTTTGAATGGCACTTTTCAGTGCTCTAGAGCAGAAAAAAAAAAAAAAAAAAAAAAAAAAACTTTGCGAATCATGGCAGACCTTTTCAAATACTTTAATACTTTCTCTCTTTACTCTCTTTTCTAAAAACTTGAATAAACACAAATACTTCAAATTTCATGTTTGCTTTATCTCAAAAATTATGCAGGGTATGTGTGTGAAAATTTTCATTTTCTGTATTTGGATGTATTTTATAGGATTTTAGCTAAGTTATATATTTTAACTCATTTGGTTGTATTTAATATTGTTGCACATTAGTTTATATAGTATCTGTTATATTAACCAATTGTATGGCGCACGTAACCGTATGCGGTTTTGTAGCAAAAAAGTTTCCATCCAGCCTTCATCAACCAACTTGACTATAAGCTAAGTCGTCTAATTAATAATTGAAATTAAAAATTTGAGTTTTTACGCAACCTTTCAAATACATGTCAAATAATCATACAAAAAAAAAAGTTACTTTTACGGCTTACTGCATAATCGATGGAAGACAAATTAAATTTTTAAACATAATAGTGTTTCTGTTAATTTGGATAAGCTCTGTATATATCGATTTTTTGGATTCGTCCATGCGGGAAGTTATGAAAGAAATATTTAAAAACAGTTCTGTAGTCACTTGTATGAAAACTGTTAGTGAAATAAAATATAATTTTACGTCACAAATAATAAAAGCTAGACTCCTAAATAATGTAACATATTAAATTAATTGCATTGCCAGAAGTATAAGCCATTATCTTTATAAATTTATTAAGGACGCGCAAGGCTTTTATCATCCCTGAAATAAAATTTAGATAATTTTTATATAGAGATTTATTTAATCTTTGTTCCCATTAAACTATGTAATAAATTATTTTTCTCCTTTTAGTTCATTAATTATCTTAACGAATAATAAATAAAATCTTACTTTATAAAAACTTTAAAAAATATTTTGTATCACTGCACAGTATGTGTTAGTTACAATATAAGGAGCGAACATCTTACAATTTTGTAATAGTCAGTCGCCTTTTCTTTTATTTCTTTTTATTTATTTATAGGTAAACGGATAAAATATGGATCAAAATTTGTAATATTATCTGACTTATTATAATAATTTTTAAAAAAATCTTGTGGTTGAAGATTAACCTAAAATTTTATTTATATTTATCTGAAATTTTTCTTCCCTGAATCATCGTCAGAGTCTCACGATTATTGGACGTACGAAGGATCTCTTACTACTCCCCCATGTTATGAAAGTGTGACATGGATTCTATTTAAAAGGCCTATAGAAGTCTCTGAAGAACAGGTAAAAAAAATTTTCCGCATTTTAAAACTTAAATTTTTTATCAATTACTTTAAGTGATGATATATATATTTATAGATTGGTTGTGGTGAGATAACTTATAACATACATTTTTCTATAATGTATGGTATTTTTATTTGTAAAGTTGTCAGTTGTTATTTTTAATTCCCTTTACGATTTAATAAAGAAACACACAGGCTAGTTAAAGAAAGCATTAGTATATTTATTAAACAAGCCTTTACGGTGGATAATTTTAATTTCAGTTGTATTTATATTTTCAAACATCAGCTCAAAAGTTCTGCAACTGTAGCAGTATATTGTCTTTTTTATCATCTTTTTCTGGATTCTAACAAAACTATGCTATGTGTACAGCACTTACTCGTTATCACGAACCCATTTTTCTATATAAAAGACACACTCAATTAGTGCCTTTCACATGGCCATATTCTATGGAAGATTACGTTATTAAAAATTTTGTTTATCACAATGCGGGAAACATACATACATTCATCCAGATTCTTCATTATTTAATTTCGTTAAATCTAATACAGGGCTCTAATATTTGGCAACAACAGTTTCAAAAGTTATAAGGTATTTCTCCCGCCTTCTTAGCGTGCCTTCGTGGTGTAATGGTCTGCACGCTGGGCGCGTATTCCGGAGGTCCGTGGTTCGATTCCCGGCGAGGCGTTGCTCATTTTTCACTTCTACTGCTTCCAAAAAATACCTCATGCCTTTACAAAGTGATTCGACGTTTATAGTTTTCAACGCAAAATGCCAAAACGAAATTAGTCCTTCTGCGCAAATTTCCCCTTTGGACTAAAGTGTAATTTCACTCAAATTACATATGTACGAAATTCGTAACAATATTTTAAGGGATTTAAATATATCACTCATTTTAATAAATTAATGCCGAAATTAACTCTCTGGGAAAACCCAAATTTTAGAAACTGTACCAAGCGTAAGCGACACAAGAAGCCGCCTAGGTTGTTGATTTTCGGAGAACACCAGCGAAGGCTGTATCCAAAATTTTCACAAAGAATGTGCTGTTTAACACTAAATTTAAAAAAATGTATTAATATTTGGGAGTAGTGTTATACTGATACCGAATTTGATTGTATTTTTTTGTCTTAATGTTGTTTATTTCATAGCCTTGAGTGTTAAGAATAACGGTTACGCAGTTATTTAGGTGCCATGGAAAACACTGGATGTAAGTGAAAAACATAACATTAAATGGGTCTTTCCTTAGACTTAACAGCATAGATGGACAGTGTATGCTGACCTATGGCATATGCGAAAACAAGATGAGGATAGACTTGATCTCGATAACTGCTGCGGCATGCGTATCGGGTCGACTTGATATTACGTTATGCCGTGGAGAGCTTGATTACGAGTCTATACGTTGCTGCATACGTAGAATTTACTGGCCGGGACTTAAATCTCCACACTCTGCTGGACTCCTACCTGTCATTCCTATTTTCGACATCTGCATCCACATCAGCATTCCGTGGCCTGCACTGATGGCGAGAACTACAGATACAGCCGCTATGACACCCCCGAAGATAGCCAGATCAATTTGATTTCTATTACGGATTAAATGCAGTTGCCCTTCTCTTCCTTTTCTGAACTGCGCAGACGCAAAGGAGAATGCAAATTTCCCACCGATTAAGCAATAAAATGTGTATCAGAAAAATTTTGAATTCACCAGTTTTAATATCTTAAGTGGAAAGTTTTGTAAAATCATAAAACCAGCTTTAGTTGACGAATAGTTCATATCGTAGTCAAACTTAAATTTTCCTTGTTTTATGAAGATTGCATTATACCATACATTTAGTTGCAATCTATTAATCAATTACATTATCTAATTATTAATTAGGCGCAGTTGAATAATGTCATTCCACTGGTACAATTGATGTTGATACTGGCAGAATTAGTGAATCAGGTGCATAATAATAATATTTTCAATAATCCTGCAAATTGATTCATATGTATCATATTAATCTACGAGCAAGTTTATTTTCTCTCCGGAGGGAGAAATTGAAAGCAACTAATTTAGAAATTTCAATTATTACGTAGTATGCATTAATACTTATTTAATAAATGCTGGGTCGAAGCTAAACCTTTTGCCACCCGGTTCAAGCTTTGCGGCTTCTAATTTCTGCTGCCCAGATCCTCCTTTAAAATTTTTAACCCCCTAAATTTTGATGCCCTAAGATCTCCCTAAGTGCTAGAAATTTTTCCCAACCGTAAATTTTGCTGCTCAGGTCTTCCTTAAATTTTAAAAATTTGATAAGTTTTGAAAGCCCAAACTTCTGTTTGTTCAGGAAGCTTATGAATGCGAATTTATGATAAGAAACATATCTTTCACACTTTCGCCTTGGACACATAATAATTTCAGGATACCCTTACCTGATTTCACATATTTCAGTTCATGTTCTTTTATGGAAAAATTCCTTTTTCTATTGCGTTCTGGCCAGGAAGGAAGAAATGGAAGAAAACGCTTTCCTTCCACAACGGCTGACGCAATGCTGCCGAGCTTTGATTGTCTTTAAGTGAGTTGGTACATTTGTTTACATTCAGAGGACTTTACCTTGACAGCGGTTAAGTAATGCTTCCGCACACAATAATTCCGCACAAATAAAAAATATGGGATATTTCCGCACAAAATAAACATTCATTGCTGGATGGTTAAAGCAGTAAAATTCTAAGCTTCTAAATATAAATGTAGATTTTAATAAATTTTCAATGATGTGTATAAAGAATGGTGTGGTGTGGTGGTGTATTTAATTATGGCAAAGCACACTAGAGCTATTTGCCTAAGGGAAGGGATGCCTTCATGGAGGACCTTTCTAAGGTAAACTGGTTCGTATACACATTACACATGGGGAAAACCACTAAAACGCCCATGCAGCCAGCCCGTTCGCGGGCTTCGAACCTCGGGCCGAACTACCAGTATTCAGCGACTTTACCGCTCGGCCGCTGGTGGACCGTATAAAGAACGATAAATTCCTTAAGAAGTCAAGGTATCTTTAAAATGTCAAAATATCGCAAAAATATAACTCGCTTTAAAGCTCAATTTCTTTATAACAAACTGGTATAAGCCTGAAAATCTGTATTCTTATTTCAATGTCATCGATATTTTGTTTGCCAATTTTATTTTATATTTCAAACGTTAAAATATTTTAAATAAAATGCACTTTTTATAATCCACATAATGATATAATATACACTACCTCAGCATTGTGGATAAACAAATCACTATTTTTATCTGTTTCTTTTGTTTCTTTCTTTGAAATGGAAAAATAATGTACAATTAAAATAGCCTATGCTAAAAATAACATAATTTTATTTTTTTGAAAAATTAATTTAAAAAAATTTTTGAGGCTCTATGATTGACTATTTATTAACATAATAAATTTTAATTAAAGGTGATTTCTAAAATTTTTAGGCATGATAGTTGCTCATTTTAAACTCTTTTAGACTTTATTTAATTGAAAAATAATCACTTAGGTTTTACATATCTGAACTGAAAAATGAAATTACCTCGAAATCCTCTAAGGAAATTTCAGAAGTTTGTGAATTTAGATCAGTTAGTTGTTTCAAAAAAAGAAGTAAAGCTGCTATGCAGAGTAAGGGAATCGTGATTGCAATCTGATGACAGTGAGGTTAATATTTAAATATGAAATGAGTATTTGTTATTTATTATAATATCAGAGAACTTATTATCTTGAGTAAAATTGTTAAGAGATGTATTGAATGCTCTTCCAAAATATATTTGCTACAAAATTTGAATTTGATAATGACTGAATACAGAAATGTGTTTTAATGAATGTATACAGAAATATGTTTTAAATCAAATGTTTGCAACTTGATGGCTAAACGTAAATCTAAAATTATGTATGTTAAAATTCGACACATAGATATAATGCATGTAATTTTCATTCAATTTATATTTATGGATATATCTTGCTTAAAAATTCCGATATATGCTAAATTATTGTAAATTACTCGAAAAATATAATGAATGTACACAAAATAAAGATTTGCACTTACTGAAAATGAAAAAATTAAATATATACTAGTATTTATGTATATCCTTTTAAAAATCATGAATTTGCCTCCTATGAATTACGTAAATATTAATTAAATTGTTAATCTATGAAGGATGTACATTGTGAATTTTTTAATGTACATTGTTAAATTCAAAGCTCAGAAGAAATTTTTGATAAACATTAAAAGAATTATTTCCTTTCAAAGTTCAGTTACAAGTTTTAAGTAATATTAATAAAATATTTATTTATTCCTTCCGAAATCCTCGTAGAAAGTGAAGTACATTAAAATCAGAAATCAGCAGCCATATTTAACACATTTAACTGTTAGAATAAAAGATTGAATATTGCTGCTGATTTCTGATATACAATTTAATATATTTTTAACATATTTCTGATACATATTTAATTATTAAAATAAAAGGTGCAAGCAAACCGAGATAGTGGTTAATGACTGTGATTGTCGTACCAGGTGACAGGTGACGGAGGACGGGGACGCCTGATGTTTAACAGAGGTAAACAGGCATATGTCTCGCGCCCTTCCCTATCTAGTGGCAGCAACTCCCAGGAGCCTCATGAGGCCACCTTGGGAGTTTATTGAAGAATTTTACGTAATTGTACATGGCCATACAGAGGCGTCTTAGGAATACATTAGTTTTGATCGATAGGCGGATGATTTGTTACATCTTGGTTTTTAGACACTGTTAGACACTAATTACAGCATATACATACACATACAAGTACATACAATTGCACATATAAAGATACATACAAAACACTTGTAAAACACATATAAAAGCACATATATAACACATATAAAACATGTAAGCACATTATATAAAAATAGAAATTAGATACTAGTTTGCACACACTTATACAAGTAAAACACATACTTATAATGAAACATATTTAAGCTAATATATAGTATACACTTACACTAAAGACACATTTAGATCA